GCCGCGTATTGGAAGGAATATGCAGCCTCGGTACAGCTAGTACACCTCTGCGCTGCTCTGTCCCGTGAAGTTAGCTCTCGAACAAATGAGCAATGGGTTGTTGCAACTCAGGTATAGTCGAGAGCCAGCCTGTTTTGTTCCTCACCCGGAAAAATGGCCCAAGCTAACTTTTCATTCCTGTCCCTCTCAGTTTGTGCCTGAGGTATAGTCATGCGAAGATATCTTAAATTCTTCCAGTAAAAGGAAGAGAGGTCAAATATTTTTTCGGAGATTGGACAAGTAATTTTGGGTGATCCTGCAATTGGCGCGCGGTGACCATGTCGTGGAGAATCCCTTAAAATTCCTGCAGGCCCATCGCAATGAGGTCCGAGTAGATACGCATCCAATGATGCGTACGGCTGCGTTGCTTCCAAATAATGTTGATTTTCGTCCACGCAGCAGCAAACAACGTTTTTCCGGTGTGCAGACGAACCCCAAAGTTTTGCTGATGCCTATGTAAGTTGAATGGGTCAACTTAAAAGGCAGATTGAGGGGAGTCAACACAACGTATTCTGCTCACTTGTTTATATTTTTGTTTACTCTTTGTGAAACTATTTTTGTGAATAATCTTTATTTTTAGCTCAAGAATCATGGGCGATTGCGGTTGTGGCAGTAGCAGCTCTAGTGGGCAATTTTCCCGTGGTGTATTTGGTTAATAAATTCGGAATCCGGACCATATTTGCCTCTCTTGGAATACTCAGCGCCATTTCAACGCTACTTATTCCAACCGCTATAAGGGTAAGTATTCTAGGGCACTTCTGAGAAGAAAGAGTTGTGGTGTAGGTTGCTGCTGATTATTCGGATGTTACCATGGCGGGCAATCATGTCCTGATTCTGACGCTAATTTCATCAGTTAGCGCTAACATTTTGTTACGCGATGACTTGTTTTGATCGGTAGGTTGTGCTCACCACCGATAGCTAACTGTTCTGAATCGACCTCATACGGAATACTTAACTACGAGTACCTAAGTTCGGGGAATTTCCCATTGCTGAGTTACCCTTTAGCCGGGTTGCTCTAACCAGTTGCAGCTGTAGCATGGAACTGACTAACAGCTTAAGCCCAGGGCAACTGGGCTCCCAAAGTGAAGTGGCCACCAGCAATCTTCATATCGAACTGGCTTTAGCCCAAAATTAATCGAATGAGCCGCCTGATTGATCGATTTCTTTTCTGGTGCGCCGGGCACTCGACTCCTCTGTGATATGGTGGTGGCTTTTGAGTGCGCGTTAAGCTTATGCAATGAATATGTGAAAGCCAGGAACGTAAGCCGTTCAGGCGAACGTCGGGTAAACCTTATACCCCTAGAGCAGCGTACGATTTGACCGGTCCAAATAATTTGAGGATTCCCTACTTGGGCTGCTCCCGCTCCCAACAAATGGTAATTCATTCCGGGTTGATCAGTCCTCCCTTCTGGAGTCATGTATTACAACACCTCTCTACTTCACGTTGAAATGATAACAGTACTTGAATCGTGGACCGTCTGGCCTACACAGTAGCCTACCGGGGTCCCGCCATTTTGCAAGACAGTGCCATATCCTCGCGGGCAGGCCAGGGTGCAATTATTAGGTCAATGAATAGGAGGCGAGAGGCAGGGT